TGCTTGAATGCTTGATTGAGATTTATTGGGATTCAAATGATTTGTTCTTGCTGTCAATTGGAAAATGGGTTTTGTGAGGAAAAAGATAACTTTAAATTTTAAATACAGTACAAGTAATTCTTAAATGTTAAAACTAATTTTTTCCTTAATGCAGCAGATGATTTAATCTCATCTTTCAAACCTTGTTAAAAGCAACTAAAATTTAACATAAATGTCATCAGAAATAATTAGAAGCATTCATAATTAAAATTTATAACTTCTTAACCAAAAATTCAAAAATAGTAGAATATTAAATTTAGTTCTATTATATAGATTTAAGACTTCTAGAATGATACTTCTAAAATGATATTTCTTAAAATTTAGTTAGGAGAATCATAATATTATTTTAAAAACGAATAAAATTTAGAGTTCTCAAAATAGAATTATAAACTAGTTATAAAAAATAAGAAATAGAGTTACAAGGGAATTTAAAATTTAGAATTAGAGTTAGAGTGCACGATTTAGAAAGAAAAATAAATTAAAGAATATAGAAATATTCTATTTTTATTTTTAAATTAAGTTAATGAAATTATCATCTTATAAAATAAAAAAATTTAAAATATTATTAAAAAACAATATTATTTTTAAAATAATAAAAAACACTGTAGAGGTTTTTTTTTTATTAATACAAATTAATTTATTAAGGGCTTATTTGGTATAATGATTAAAATTTAACGGATAGTGGATAATAGATAGTGAGTAGCAAATAGTGTAATGAATAGTAGTTTTTTTTTTGGTTTCCTGCCCGGTATTTGAGGCCTTTGCCTCTTCTAATCCGGACTCGACCCGCGTCGCGCACCTGAAAATGATAAGTGAGTCTTCCGGTGAATGCTGCTGCGTACACAAAATTTCGAACTCGAGACCTTACTTAAACTGGAACAAGCCGCTTACCACTTGATCCAACCCTTCATTGGTGTAATGAATAGTAGTTAACAGATAATGGGTGACGAATAGTGGGCGGTGAATCATAGAAAGCAGATTCAATTAATATAATTATTTAGTTATATAATAGTTAGTAATTATTGTTTAAAATTAAATAATTGATAAGAACATATTTAAAAATAATTAA